GGGGGGGGGGGGGGGGGGGGGGGGCGTACTCTTATGCTTTGCATGCCTTAGCGGTTAGACCATTGACCACGCGTCCTCGAGAGGACGGAGCATTGTTCCCACAGGACCGATCACCGATGGCCAATCGTTCCTTCCTACTTTGCCAAAGGTGGCTCAAAAATGTCTTCCCTAGTCTGTCTATCCTACCGATGTCACTTCCCGCCTTTTCAAACCACTTCCTACTCCCCAGTACCGCTACCGTCCTCTCCTCTCTATTCCATGCCTCAAACATCTCCCTGTACGTCCCTTGTATTCTTCCCAGCTCAGTCATGTACACTTCCCTCTCCTTTTCGTACCACGGACATTCCGCGACTACATGAACACTGTCTTCGCATTCGAAGCCGCAATCACATTTGAACTTGTCGTCTTCGTCGTCTACCGTCCTATGTCTTCGTCGACGTTCGCGAAGGCCTATGTCCCCGGTCCTGAATTTGACCTTAAGCTTTGTCCCTGCATCCATTGGTCCATGTAGGTAATCCTTGAACCCTATTCCTTCTTTCAACATTCCGTACACTTCTAGACCCTCCTTATCCTTGGATTCTTTCCTTAGATTCTGTTCTTCTCTGTCGGCACAAGCAACAGATATCTTCTTCTTGAACCCCTGTAGACCCTCCGTTTCCAGCGTTTCATCTTCGTCGATGTCCAATCCCTTCCATACGTCCTCTACAACCTTGACCCATTCCGTGGGTTGTCTACCCCTCTTTTTGTTTGCCCACTTCGCTTCCCATACTATTCTCGGCAACCTCTCCTCTCCCATCCCACACATGCGATACTGCCATGTCAGCTTCCTTACGTCTCTTCCCGACCGTAGGGATTGGATCCCCAATTCGGCCCTGACTGCTGCATTACTTGTGCGCTTGGAGCATCCTAGGATGATTTTCGCTGCTTTCATCTGCGCCGCCTCGAGTTCTTTCACTACCTTCTTATTTCCTTCCCATACTTCTCCGGCGTACTCTAGCGGCGGTACGATTACGCTCTTCAAAACCGTCAGTTTGATGCGTGTATCAAGGTGCCGGTTTGCGAGTATTGGGTGCAGCTTCCCTGCTCGTGCTTTGCCCTTTTCCGCTACCTTGGACATGTGTGCATTCCACGAGCAATCTTTTGCGATCTCTACTCCGAGGTATGTGTACTGGTCCACTACTGCCATCTCCTCGATCCCCCACTTCCATCTATGTTCTACTGGTTCCTCCCTGCCCTCGTTGCATACCATGACGGCACTCTTCGTAACGTTGGCAGACAATCTCCACTTATCAGTAAACTTCTTCGCCGCGTCAATTTGCAGTTGCAGTCCCTCAGGGGTGTCCGACATACCAACAAAATCATCCGCAAACAGCATTCCTGACACCGAAGTTTCCGTGTCCCCTACTTTTACTCCCTTCCGGGGGGGGCATAGAGTACGCACACAAGACCGAGCTTTTCTTTATAATGCTGCTTGCGGGTCTAACCTGGTTGATGAATTTTGTAATGCCGGTCTCCACGGAGTGCTGGAAGGTGACGTCGGACTCCAGGATGAGGATCCCGAAGAAGAGCAGAAAGAAGACAAGGTAGGCCACCAGCCTGTGGTGATGATGACGACCATGACACGCGGCGCAAAGAGGTACATACGAGGTACAAGGTTAAGGTAGAACATGACCGCAGCATCTAGAACGCACGAGAACGCACTGAGGAAGAAACTGAGCCAGAGAAAGAGAGAGGCAGACAGACAGACAGAGAGAGAGAGAGACAGCAAACCTCGACTTACGTTCCCAGTGTCCCCTGCAAACCCTGCCCTTGGAGGGCTCAAACAAACTACAGCAGTCCCGTAGACTATTACAGGATACACAGCCGGCCACGGCATGGACACACACAAGCATCAAGACACGAGGGAATTCCACAGCGGTACCTTCTCAAGCCCTTGTCCCTCTGGTCCAGGTCCTTCAGCACAGCCTCCAGGTCTCTCGCCGGGATCCAATTAACCTTTCGCCGCAACAGCCACCCCCTCACGACGGCTTGCAGCCGAACCAGCCGCTCGGTCTCTGACCGGCTAGCAGCACCACCATGTTTTTTAGTCAACCATTAGGAGAAGCAGGCACACGCACACGGGAAATTGACAGGGGGGGTTCACGAGCATCTTTGTTGTTTGCCGATAGGCCGGCCTCCTCTTGTTCTACGTACTCCGAGTAAGTAATTGTGATGGCGACCAACAAGCTTTTGCGTGGTCACAACTGGATTTGGCCCAGACTAGAATGTGGACGTGCAGAAGGCGAGACCGTAAAAGGGTAGTTATTCAAGTTGTAGTTGTACTAACTTTCATCCACGGGGGGGGGTCGCAGATGATACAACCGAGAGCGAGCAGGTGAAAGCCAGTGCGCTGAGGTGTCGTGGGACTGCTGAACTGCTGCCTTGGGACGTTCCAAGCCGCCGCGGTAGAACACAGCAATTCTTCGTTCATGAGCTACAGCGCTACCCAAGTACCCACAGAGAGGTCGTTGTACTTCCCTATCCGTCTGTCTGTGTGCGCTTGTTGTTCACGACCCCTCGAACTAGGCTACGCCGTAGCGCACGTGGTTCTACTACATGTATTTACATGTACTTGTTGTATGTGACGTGCCATGCAGCAGTAGCTTTGGGCAGTGCATCGCGCGATTCCACCAAGCGGAGTGTTCTACGACCATACCAGGCTCTTAGCAGTAGCGCAGAAGTGCTTACCACTCGGTCCTCTGATGTAGTCAGGGTTCTAGGGTTCACACCGGGCTGCAACAAAAGTGTGACCACTTGTGATGTGTGTTGCTGCAGTGTATGCATAGGACGGCTCATGGGCTGTTCGTCGTGCCGTACAACCATGCTTTCGACAAACTCGCAAGGTCGCCCCACACCAACGCTAACCTCCAATCGTCATGATCACACATACAAGAGGGTAGCCCCGCCCGCCGACGCACCTACCTCCATCCCCACCGAGATTGGCTTCCCATCATGCCCCCTCCAACGCTCCTGCTGCTGTCGCCGTGATGGCCGAGTAGCCTACTGCTTCGCAACGACGTAGCAGTAGCGCTCTTGCGCGAGTCGGCCGCCGGCTGTCTGCCTGTGAACCACATGACTTCGCGAGCGACACGTACAACACCGACTAAGGTGTGTGTGTGTTGTTATTATTAGCATCGACCGCGCTAAACCGTACTTCGCTCTGCTCTGTCCGAATTACTCCGCCTGCGGCGTTTGAATAGTCTTGAATCTCCAAAGGTTGATTGCTCTGTTGTCCCGACGTCCCGACCCCGTGTGGGAGTCTATCGTGGTTACAGCAGCGGCGTCCTCAATCAAGTTGTCGGGGATGGCGAACAGCTCTCCACAGCAGTAAGCTGGGCGAGCAAGAGTAGCACGTCTACGGTAGTGCTGTACTATTTACCAGCAGGCGAACGACAAGCATCATCTAGCAGCAGCTGACCTGTAGAAAGCCCCCCCACCCCCTGCGATCCCAGTTTCTTTATGATTTAACTGTCCTAGCTGTGAGACCCCTCTGGCTGGCCTTGGCTGATGGCTTTGCCTGGCCGAACAGAATGATGATGCCGACGCTCGCCTGCTGGTAGTACAGTACCGTAGACGTGCTACTCTTGCTCGCCCAGCTTACTGCTGTGGAGAGCTGTTTGCCATCCCCGACAACTTGATTGAGGACGCCGCTGCTGTAACCACGATAAACTCCCACACGGGGTCGGGACGTCGGGATAGCAGAGCAATCAACCTCATTGCACTTTTTTAGTCTAATATTTAAACGTCGCAGGCGGAGTAATTCGGACATGAAAGCGAAGAGCGAAGAGCGAAGAGAACAAAACAAACACACGCCTTGGTCGGTGTTGTACGCGTCGCTCGCGAAGTCATGTGGTTCACGGGCAGACAGCCGGCGGCCGACTCGCGCAAGAGCGCTACTGCTACGTCGTCGCGAAGCAGTAGTAGGCTACTACCGGCCATTACGGCGACAGCAGCAGGAGGAGGTCCTGGAGCGTTCGAGGGGGCATGATGGGCAGGCAATCCCGGTGGGGATGGGCGTCGGCGGGCGGGGCGTAAGCTCTTGTAGTGTCATCATGACCATTTGGAGGTTAGCGCTGGTGTGGGGCGACCTTGCGAGTATTCGGAAAAATAAATACAACCACGACCTTGCAGTATGTCGAAAGCATGGCAGGTTGTATGCATACCGCAAGACGAACAGCACTGATGAGCAGTTCCATGTTATATGTACACTGCTGTACATAGGTAGACTTAGTAAAGTGTAGTAAATAGCGGAGGTACACGACATGTGGTGTAGTCTTACACTTTTGCTGCAGCCCGGTTCGAACCCTAGAACCCTTGACTACGTTGTTAGAGGACCGAGTGGTAAGCACTTCTGCGCTACTGCTAAGCGCCTGCTATCTACCGTAGAGCACTCCGCTTGGTGGAATCGCGCGATACACTGCCAAAGCTTGGTATTTTTTACATGTATGTAGACTGGAATATACGACCTGTCCACATACATACATTGCTCTACGGTAGTCTATGCATTCTTCGAAGCAGTACAATAGCTGTGCAAGGGTCGTGCACAAAAAGCGCACACAGTCTGTCTGTGTGCGCTTGTTGTTCACGACCCTTGATGCGCTAACTGCTTCGAAGTGTGCATACAGGAGAAGACTACAAGTCTACGTAAATAGTGTCATCAGATTCTGCAGATTTTCAGTCTACATGTATGCATATGCATACCGTAGCTTTGGGCAGTGCATCTCGCGAATCCACCAAGCGGAGTGTTCTACGATCATACCAAGTTCTTAGCAAGTAGCGCAGAAGTGCGTACCACTCGGTCCTCTGATGTACAATTGTATGCATAGCCAAGAGTTCTAGGGTTCAAATCGGGCTGCAACAACAAGAAAGAGTGCTTTCGACTTGATTGAGGTTACACCTCGAACGGGTAGTCTTTCTGTGAGGTTATGTTTACTTTCTAAAGAAGAAGTGTTACCTCTTGTAAAACGTGTTCTGCTGTGCATGCAGTATACAAAAAATAGTGTAGGACTGCTCATGTGCTGTTGTTCGTATTGCGGTATAACCATGCTTTAGACAAACTCGCAAGGGCGCCTCACACCAACGCTAGCCTCCAATGGCCATGATCACACATACAAGAGCTTACGCCCGCCGACGCACCTCCATCCCCACCGGGATTGGTTGCCCATCATGCCCCCTCCAATGCTCCTGTTACGGTTCGGAATGATATTGTTCCGCAAGTACGTACACCCTCACAGAGGTGGTTAGCCGCAGTCCGCGGAGCCTCTGCTGGAGTCGTGGAGTTCGCCCCTCCCTTCTCACTCCTTTTCTCGAGCTACCCTTCCTGAGCTCGAACTAAAAGAATAAGACCATAACATCTGCAAGGAGGCCTTTGCTCCGACCCAATACCAGCTCCCGCAGCCGGTACAAGTACCTTCAAGGTTCATCGCACTCGGTACAGTTGCTCGATTGCACAGAGAGAGGTCAGTGTGGGACAGCTTTTGTCCAATATGCATGGCGTTGGCGGAGAAGCCAGTAAACCTTTCTCGCGCCAAATATCTCTGGCATGAACGGGAATATCAGTGACCCGTTGACAACATGCAATGCCGCCTCTCCCTTCCTAGAGTCGAGCGACTCGTTTCATGGTGTCCAATCCGAGAATCGAACTCGGGTTTCCACAGTGGCCTCACCAACCCCGGTACGAGCGGCCGACGCCAACATGGGGCAGCTGGGAGCGTTGCAGAAGCAAGAATTAGTCGAAGTTCTGGCCACGTTCGTAGAAGAAGGCTTGTTCCCGATCGACCCCAAGCGAGTGGCAGCATGCGGTGGCAGTGAGTTGGAACTTCCTTTGATAGACGAGTTTTGTACACCGTACGCAGCCAAACAACGTCGATTTTCACCCGAGGAACGACGCATGATCCGGGCTGAAATTCAGCAATTACTAGATCGAGGTATCATTCGACCTTCCATGTCACCATGGGCTGCCCAATGCCTGTGTGTCAGGAAGAAAGATGGTACTATGCGGCTATGCATCGACTGGAGAGTGTTGAACAAGCTTTTGGTATCTGATAGTGGTGGGCTAGGCGATATGCAAACTATATTCGATGGGCTGAAAGGCAAGCGGTACTTCACGCAGATCGATCTCGCGTCAGGCTTTCACCAAATTGAAATCGCCGAAAAGGATCGCCACAAAACAGCTTTCCGCGACGCAGACGGAATGTTGTTCGAATTCACACGTGCGGGTTTCGGACTGACAGTATTACCTTCTGCGTTTACGCGTCGAGTGAAGTCTGCTTTGGGAGTTATTGATGGTGTGTTTAGCTGGCTGGACGATATACTCGTTGCGAACGAAACGTGGGAGGACCATCTAGCTGCCCTGGTGCTCGTTCTCACACGCCTCCGTGCTGCTGGATTATCCGTTAATTTTCCGAAATGCATTTTCGGGGCTTCGTCCCAAGAGTTTCTCGGAATGATAATTGATGCTACCGGCATGCACCCAGCGCCGTCTAAACTCGAAGCGATAGCCAACATGCCTCGGCCTCGAACAGTAGAAGACCTGCGCACGTTTTTGGGGCTGACAGGATACCTTCGACAGTTCGTTCCGCAATATAGTGTGATAGCAGCCCCCCTATCCGACATCCTTCGAAATAAGGCCTTTGCGTCCAAGCGCGCACGCAAGCTCCCTATTCCGTGGGGGGAGACTGAGGAACACGCCTTCCAACAGCTCAGACTATCACTTGCTTCTCCCACCGTGTTAGCCTTCCCTGATCCTAATGCGCCGTTCGAGATGCATGTCGACGCTAGCTCAGTGGGTGCAGGTGCGACCCTGCTACAGACCATCGACGGTACGCCCAGGATCATCGCCTTCGCCAGCCACAAGTTCTCTCGCACCGACGCTCGACGCGGGCCCACGGAACGGGAGTGCATGGGGGTATTGTGGGGCGTTGACCATTTCAAACCATATTTAGCGGGTCGGCAGTTCAAAGTAGTAACGGATTGCTCTGCACTCACATGGTTGTTTCGCAGTAGGGAGCTTTGCCCCAAGTTGCATAGGTGGGCGCTTAGGCTTATGGAGTATGACATAGTATTAGAATGGAAAGCAGGAATGCATCACGTACTGCCCGATGCTTTATCCCGTCTCCCCGTAGCAAGTGCCTCCCCCGGAGACATCGACGACTCTTTTCCGGACGACTTTACAACCCCCAATTCCGAAGCTGTGGTTGGCCCGCAAGGCCCCGTTCTTAATGGCAGGCGTCTTGCTGAGCTTACATTGGAGGAGGAATCTGAGCCAATGGATGTCGTACATGCATCGGATCAGTTGAACATAGCACCGCTGTTTGCTGACTTCCCGTTTGCTGCCTGCGCCTCGCTCAACGACCCACTGCCACCGCGTCGCTCCAGCCGTAAACGCACACCCTCAGTACGGTTGCAACCCCTAAACGACCCTCAGCTGCCTACCGTGGCACAGGTTTTATCATCGGGGCTACAGCCCGCGTTCGTACCTGAGCCTATCGAACCGCTCCCGACGCAACTACCGGAGGCAGTTCCGCCCGAGTGCACGCGATCCGCTGACGTGGGGGAGGTGCTTTCGGCAGGGGGGGAATCGCCCTTTAGGTCAGCGGTGGACACGGGGTCGACAGCGATCCATAGGGCGCTGCGCACGCTGAAGAATCCAGACACACTCGTTCGACATCAGCAAAGCGATGCCCTTTTGGGCCAGGTTCGGAGGGATCTAGAAGGGAGTGGTAGAGCAGGTTACAGTTTGGATGTTAAAGGAGTGCTACGATTCGCGTTTGAAAAGGGCAAACCAGTAATAGCGACCCCCAAAAGCATGGTGGCAGACATCCTCGCATTGGTCCACACGTTACAGGGGCATGCAGGAGTGGGAGCGACCTTGGCATTAATTCGGGATCACTTTCACTGGCCCACACTGGCACGAGATGTCCGGCATTACGTTTTATCTTGTAGCTGTAGACGT